TAAGCTGCTATTCTACGTTGATTTTCTGTTTGAGTTCAAATTAATGGTATTTATTCTAGTTTATGACAGCCCTGATTTATATTACGTGGTTGAAATAAGGTACTTCTTATTATTTACGTCAAACCAAATAACAGTCGGGCGACTGACATTATGCACTCCATAAATTTCGTATATCTAATTACAGTCCCATTAATTTACACTAAAAGAAAATAAAAAACTTGTAAATTTTAACAAAAATAACTGTATTACTATGTCTATAGTCACATTCATACAAATCAAAAAGCCTAAAGATGAGCTAATGTAAAATATGCTATGTTTTGATTTTTAATTTAACACTGTTAGGTTTAAAACTGTGAGGTAATATTTGAAATATACTTTCCTCTAATTATGAAGAATTTTTAGCCGACCATATTTGTAGTTAAGACTACTAGAAATCTTATTTACGAAGTAAAAAGGCGGAAAGGCTGGAATTAGGGGCGTGGCTGGTATTAGGGGCATCCAACCTACCCGGGGTTTTTCGTGTCCCACAACTCGGGGAGAGACTGAAAATTTAAAATAAAATCTTTTTCTGGCTGAAACACATTTGGTGGGAGTGGCGACGGGCTGCGCGAGCGCGTAGAAGCAGCCTCTTCAATATATTCTGCGTCCGCCTCCATTGGCGTCTAAGCGTTGACTGATGCGTGATTGACGAAATGCCATTACACGTTCAATCAAAATTCGTGACTGATAGTTGATTGACGTAAAAATCAAAATATCCAGATATTTGTCAATCAATTTCATGCAACCGTCAATCACCGCATTACACGATAGGTTATTCGTCAATCACAACCATGATTGTTGTAAAACTGACAGCAAAACCTACCGTGTAATGGGCGTCTAAGTCTTTGGGAATTCAAAAAAATTCTTTGACACACTGACATAGAGACACAGACACCGAAGTGACTCTAAAAGTAATCGAATTTTGCTAAATTTGACACGAAATAGCATTTAGTGATGTTTCGAAATTGAAGAAAACGCGAGCGAAGCCGCGGGTAAAAAGCTAATAAAACAATATAAACTTACCTAGTTTATAATTAGTTGTTTACGAGGGCGACACTGTACGTTTTTGAACTGGCCACTTTTATACGATATAATAAAAAAATAAGTTCAAATTTTGAAAATGGAACTCTTTGTCAATGTTACTGTGTATAATATGTATTTTATTAATTTCTTATTTGTTTACGATTTGGCCACAAATTGAAAATTGTCTGTGTCACGTCAGCATGATTTTAACGCGAAAAATTTCGTACAATGATTTTTTATGACTTTCGGTGTCATTTAAGTCAACAAGAAAGTTATGATAGACTTCGATTGACTTTTACGATGAAGCACCATCTCGTGCCACTGTTTACAACTGGTTTAATGAGTTTAAACGTGGTCGCACTAATCTCACCGATGAGCGTGAGGGACGGCCTTCTACGGCGACGACTAAAGATAACATCAGTGTTGTGCGGCGTATGATAGAGATTGACAAAAGAGTGACTTATCAGCAGATTCGGACAAGCTTAGGCATCGGTATGAGTCAAGTGCACAAAATCCTCCATAAACAATTACGTGTCAGGAAGCTTTGTGCCCCATTTAACGTAGGTGAGTTCTTCGGAAGGACACGTCATTACGCAGCAATTGTTTTAGAGGATTGAAAAACAGTTACTGCGGAGTGGTACACTAACAATTGTTTGCCACTTGTCTTGGAAAAAGTTCGGGAGAAACGACCTCGCAGGATCCTCCTTCACCACGACACCGTCGCACACCACCAAGCAAACAATCGACTACTTGGCGACTTCAGTCGTGGTATTACTGGGTCACCCGCCCTGTAGCCCCGACCTCGCACCTAGCGATTTTTATTTATTTCCGAAAATAAAAATAAAACTTCGAGGAAAACGTTTTATGGACGCCGAGGAAGCCACTGCTGCGTTTCAAAATGCCGTCGAAGAGACCCCCTAAGGACGAGTAGGCAAAGAGCTTTTCTCAGTGATTCCATCGGATGCAGCGATGTATTGATGTAAATGGACATTGACGTAACTTGCTAGTTTGTTCAGTTTTTAATTTTCTAAAAACTTTTATGACTCAAATATTTGACTAAAACACGACAAAATCTGACGCGTTGCAAACGGCACGTAGATTTGGTAACGTTTTCAGTGCAAAACAGGCCACAATAGCATTTAGCAGGTTTGCGTTGTGGAGATTGATTGCTGGTCAGAAAAGTTTTTCAGGCATAGTATTTGTCACCTCTTTAGGCTAATATCGCTGTTATTCTTCAAATGTTTCGGTAGACATTAGACTTGATCTTTTTGACTGGTATAAAAAGTAAATTTTGCTAAAAATGGACTTAGCAGGTTAACGAATTAGGCCGACGTTATGCGATTCTCATTTGCTTTTTTTATAGTATTTACTTAAGCTTGAAAACCAAACTAAACGGTTAGAAAACGTGTAGTACACTTACCTAGCCGTTTAGTTTTAGTTGTTTTAAAGGTATTAAACAAGACTACGATAATGATTGCTTATATTTACACGAACACTACACATTGAATAAAACTACTTTTACGGATTCTATCGCGTTTAATTAACTTATTATTTTTTTTAAATTAATTCCCGACGTTTCGGATGTTAAATTAGACGTCGTTAAAAATTAAACGTCGGGAATTAATAAAAATAAGTTAATTAAACGCGATAGAATCCGTAAAAGTAGTTATATTCAAGACTACGATGTCAATTTTTTTGAATTCTTCAAATATTTTAGAGGGCACACAACATTATTACAATTTATTGTAAAAATGTTGTGTGCTCTCCTTAACGGTATTTTGCTACATACTTTATTCTAATAATAACTTTCAACATGTAATTTTATTAATAAGAGTGTTTATGGCTGCATGTTGCAGTTTTTTCCTTAATGCACCTCTATGAGAACATCAATATTTTGTGAAAATCTGCCACAGGATTCACTTACCATCGGTGTACTGTGGGCTCGTTTGTCACCCTAACTTTATTAAAAAAAATCATACGTTAAGAAGAATATTTAGCTACGGAGGCTAGGCATATCTTTGCCTGTTAAGGACATTTCGATAAGATGTTATCGATAATGTCAATCTCTACAAAAATGAGGTAATTAGCAGAATTTGTAATTATTTTAAATTCAATTGCTTTGCATTCAGATGAATATTATAAAAAGTGATAATTTTTCACATCCATTTAAGTATAAATGGGTCTAACAAACGTTTTTTACTTTGCATGCCAAATAAATCTACAAAATAATACGAGAAAAACTGTGTTTTTACTTTTTTCATATCTTAAAAACTGGCTGAGATATTAACGATCAAAGTGCGTAATTCCGAAGGAAGATTTTTAAAAACGCGGGCGGGCGCTCACTATTCGATGACGTCACACCCCCGCTCATACAACAATGGCGCTCTCGTCTGCACGCAGCTGCGCAGTAAAAATAAGAATTTTAAAGTTCTATGTGATACAAATGGAAAAAAAAACTGTATTGTGCCTCAGTGCTTTAATTCAACTGTTAAAACATCTGATAAACTCTTTTTTTATGTCTGAAAACCCAAAAATGAGGAAAAACTACGGATGACAGCCGTAAAAAGAGTCGATTCAACAGGCTCTACAACTAAAGCGCACTGCTGTGAAGACCATTTCGATGTAAGTAGGCCCTATGTTAGAAGTATCAAACTTGCGGCCCGCATTTATCCCTAGTTTTCGTTGTATTTTTTTTTAACGATAGCAACGTACATATATAAAACACGGTTTTTATTTAGGTTTTCGAAACGTACATTTTTAATGTACTATTAGAACGGCTTAACCGATTTTGATAAAACATGTATATGAACCGCTGTTAAAACAACATTAAATACAAAATAAAAAAAACATCACGGTTCACCCATTTATGAGCTACAGTACAACAGACAGACATATAGACACACAGTCAGACATACAGACAGACACACATAGCTGTCAAACTTATAACACCCCTCTTTTTGCGTCGGGCATTTATAAATAACCAATAAAAATGTTAAGTAAAAATTTGCGACCCACAAGTTAATCAGTACTGATTTTTTAAATCTTTTAATAAAAAAAAACTGTAAATGAATAAACTAAAGCGAGCATTGGATAAAATTAATCAAAAATAGATAAGTATCTGTTTTAGTATAACAATAGAACAATAGGTACATATTTGCCTAGTTAGAAAAATGATAACTACGTAAATACCTAAATAACACCTACGTACAGTTACATTCAACATATTACTCGTAAGTGGACGTGTTGTCGGTTAGTGTAGCAAAAATCCAGTAAATACAGTAAATACAGTGTCAGTGCGTGCGAGTTTACTTCTTACTATGGAGTGTAGAGTAGAAGGAGAACCATCTTATAAGGTGCGAAAGTTAAAAAAGTGTCCCAATATATACTGAAAATAGAGGTTCCAAAACCTACCACAATAGCGCTGGCGTCTGAAAAACTACGATATGAATATAGCTGTTGTAGACGGAGTGAAGTCAGCTGAATTAAAATATTTAAAAAATTTCATGACTAGAGTAGATAGTAAAATGCCAGTATACAAAACCTCAACTATTTACGTAGTCGGTCCTTGTTTATTTCTCCATCTTATTCTAATAAATTTTGGCGCTTTTTTTTATAATTTATCCTATGCTACTGCAGCGCCACCCTTATTGGACGCGTTTTTAGGGACACTTTTCATATACAGAGATGGTCCTCCTTCTACTCTACACTCCATACTTCTTACGAAGCGCTTACTAATAGCAGTTACGGCTATAATCCCGAGTGTTGTGCGAACTATAAAAATAATATTTTAAACTATATCATTCGGTAGCTGCCTGTGGACTCGCGGGGTGCCTCACCTCACGATAAGAGACAAGTGACATAATTGCTGTCGCATTCAAGCGCCGCTTGAACCTGCATTGTTTGCATGTATACGTAGTTGCCGCGATTTTGAACGCATTATGCATCAATGCTCCGCCTGTCATACTAAGATTAAGGATTCTGAATGCATGCAATGTTGTGTCTGTGTGGCATACTATCATTGCATATGTGTCGCCATTTCGCCTGCTCAGCTTAAAAACCTACCGACTGAAGTTAAGGCAGATTGGCTGTGCCCTGAATGTCGGAATAAAAAGCCGCGCAGCGATAACTCTAATACGCCGGTCCGGCCATCGACGCCCAGTAACCCCAAAGCAAACGTTACCTTGCGCCATAAAGGCCCGGATTCACTCCTTGAGTCAGACGCCGGTACGAGTTTTAATGTATCACGGTCGGAGTTGCGTGCTATTATACAGGAGGAGATGAGGGTCATCATGGAAGAATGCGTGAGAGATTTGAAAGCTGACCTGAATAGACAACTAAAGGCTTTTAGAGGAGAGATCACTGGTCTCACGGAATCAATACAATTCATGAATGATTCGTTTGAGCAATTTAATAAGGATTTGAGTGGCTGTAAGACTAAAATTGACACAATTATTAAGGAAAAGGAAACCCTACAGAGTGATCTTATCATCATTACTAGCCGTCTTAATCAAATGGAGCAAATCTCTCGGGCATCGAACCTGGAAATCGAATGTGTTCCTGAGCGTAAGTCTGAAAACGTTTTATCTATTGTAACACAATTGAGCAAAACCATATCTTACCCTATAAGCGAGTCGCATATCTTATATTGTTCACGCATTGCCAAGAACCCCGAGAGTACCCGTCCCCGCTCTATTCTAGTTAGACTTAACAGCCCTCGCTCCAGGGACTCCCTGCTAGCCGCTGCATTGAAGTACAATAAAACTCACTCACAGGAAAAATTGAACACGGAGCATGTAGGGTTGGGGCCTAACAGGAAGACTCCCATATATGTAGTAGAAAATCTTTCACCTGAGAATAAGCTTCTTCACGCTCTGTCCCGTAAACGTGCAAAAGAACTTCAATACAAACATGTATGGGTCCGGGGCGGCCGCATATACATGCGGAAAACTGATACATCTGAATACGTCTTAGTACGTAATAAATCGACCCTGGACAATATATCTTAGGTTCTTTTTGTTATTTTGTAATCTATCGTGTAATAGTATACGGCTTAAAGTTCAACAGTTTAAATGTATATTTTCAAAACGTTAGGGGTCTTCGAACGAAGACGACAAACTTGTACAAAAACATATTAAAATACGATTATAATATAGTTGTGTTATGTGAGACTTGGTTAAATAGCACTATTTTTGACTCCGAGTTGTTTAGTGATCGTTACGCAGTTTATAGACGCGACAGCGAGACTAGCGGCTTTCATCAGCACAAATCTGGTGGCGGGGTATTGGTGGCTGTGTCAAAGCATATTTATTCCCGTAGGCTACACCATTTTGAGAGTAAATGCGAGGATATTTGGATCGAATTGAATATACCTACGGAAAAAGGTACCCCAAATAAGCTTTTATTGTGTGGTGTCTACCTCCCGTCGCCCATTCAAAAACATTTTCTGGAACATTATATCGACAACGCTAATAGAGTCTTAGAGTCAAACGCAAAAGTGTTAATTTTGGGAGATTTTAATCTGAGTGGTATTGCCTGGAACGATACAGAGGTACCGTTTGCTGTAAATGGCAATAATATGACTAAGACTTCATTTGAAAGCACTTTACTGGACTTCATAGCTTTAAATAATCTTACTCAATATAATACTACGGTCCTAAACCATAAAGGCAAAATTTTAGACCTGGTTCTCTCTAATCTTAATATTCTGTTGAATGTGACACGAAGTAACTCTGAGCTCAGTTCTGTAGATTATTATCATCCACCCCTGGAATTTACGCTGCCCTCCGGGTATTCAGCTAAACTTCTTTCCCGTAATTATAATGAGAGACATAACTTCTATAAAGCTGATTTTGAAAAAATATCTAATTATTTAAGCTCGATACCATGGGAGAGTGACCTGGCTTCGTGCTCCTCGGTAGATGAAATGACTAACAAATTTTACTCAATACTAAGAAGTTCTATCTTAAAATATGTTCCTAAAAGCAAACCAGCATCAAAAAAGTTTCCCCCGTGGTATACCAGGGATCTTATTCGTCTTTCACGTGAGAAGTATAAGCTCAGGATGAGATACAAAAAGTACAATAACCCACTCGACGAACTGGCATTCCGTATAGTTAAAAAACGGTGCTCTGATTTAACAGAATCTTGTTATCTTAAATATATAACTGATCTCGAAAAGTCCCTATCAGTAAATCCAAAAAAGTTTTGGACCTTCCTCAAGAGTAAAAAAGTCAATAGCAACGCGTATCCATCTGCAATGACATTCGATGATAAAGAAGAAACTTGTGGAACTGGTATTTGTAATCTTTTTGCTTCGTATTTTGCCTCGGTTTACCGGCCAAGCTTGCCTCTCTGCAATGTACCTGATCTAGAATACTCAGTCTCTTGTTACCTTGGAAGTCTCACCCTTAGGCGGGAGGATGTTTTGAAAACTCTGAAAGGACTAGATAGGACTAAGGGAGCAGGCCCGGATGGAATACCCTCTTTGTAGTTCAATGCTGCGAATCTCTCTACTTTCCTCTAACAATAATATTTAATGAGTCTTTAATGAATGGCGTATTTCCCTCATCTGGAAGGAGGCAAGAATTGTTCCAGTTTTTAAGTCGGGAGATTCAGCATCCGTGAAGAACTATAGGGCCATTTCGATACTCTCAGTCTTTGGGAAGGCATTTGAATCGTTGGTTTGCCCGGTGTTACGGCCTACGGCTGCTCCCTTAAAGGATCCAATCTTCAGGGGCCCATGAGCTGAAGATTTCCCGAACAGACGTAGGTCGGGCCCCAATGTGGCCACGTGGAAATTCCTAATTACATTAAAATATATGGGGAAGCGTCATACTACGGCCAGTCGACCGGAAGGAATTTGGATGAAGCTTACTTACCTATCCAAGGCGACTGGTCCCTCCGGAGTCGGTTAGGTCACATGTGGTTGTGTAGTGCAAGGGAAAGGATGGTGATGTGGTGTGTATCTGGGTGTGACTGATGGTGATTGATCCTAGACCTTGGCCGTCGGCAGCAGCCCGAGCGTCGACACCGCTCCAACTTGAGGGCGCCTTTCGAGGTAGTCCACAGTCACTTTCTTCTTTCGTCACGTTGCCAGTCAATTAACTCTATCGTACGATTTACTAACTTACAGAAGCCACTAACTATCGCTGGGTATAATGGTTCCCGCACAAACGCACACGGAGTTTAAAGGGTCAAAGGTCACTACCGTTTCGCGTAGCAATAGTTAATTCTAGAATCAGAGGCCGCACTATCTAATATTGCCGAATGCACTTATGCAGGTTTTGAGTCAGACACAATAAGTCCCGGGAAGCTCTCCAGTAGGAATGCGCGTCACAATGATAGACCGTATATTTACTGGCCGCGCCGAATTATTCCGAGTTCCCTAACAGAATGGACCGCGTGCTCACGTCAGCACCGATTAAAGACGACTGAATGCCCTTGGGCGTTCTTCGCACGACCGAAAGTCAAACCGGTATGAATGCACCGAGCCGAGCGCCCTCTCGCGTCAATCCTTGAAAGTGTTTTGCGCGAACAAACCCCCGTCCCGGACATAAGGATTTAGGTCCGCGAGCAAACCGGTCAGCGGGACAAGGTCGCGAAGGCAAGTTGCAAGACCGAATCTACAACCAAACTAGGCCACCTTAGGCACCCCATCAGATCTTGCAACCCTAACCAGCGCCTCAAAAAATAGCCCTAATGTGGCAAGCCGGAGGGTCAGCCTCCACTGGATGCCCCTCCTGGGCATCGCAGCACTTTAACAAGTCCTGTACTGGACAGAAGTCCGACGACCTCTTTCAAACACCTATCTGTGCCCCTATGATTAGTTCCGCAATCCGACCGGATCAGCTCTGCAAACAGCGACGCGACACGAAGCGGCCCCGAGCGGCCTCCTAAGCTTCAGTGCAGAGAGCACCCACAAATTCCACATGAACGTCGTCTGTGGAGAGCCGAACGAAACGTACAGATAGTCCCTAGTATGAATTTTCAACAAGTAGGCCTAGCCAGGCCACCCACCATATTATCATTTACTAAAATAGTGCGGCAGCTGATTTCAATCTGATAATCTCCAAAACTAGCTAGCCTGTTAGGCTAGTAAAAGCATCAATGTTCAACTACAGAATTAATTCAACCAAATTAATCACCGATGCGCATAGGTCAACTTGCAAATTAAACAAAACAATAACGTAAGGGACAGCCCTACTTCTTCGCAAAGCAAAACGATTAAACACTATCTATGTATATGTTACATAATTTTTCAAATAGCGCGCCATTCAATTTCCTTTCAGCAAACAGACGCAACAATCAAATACAGTGATTAAATATATGTACAAAACACATGCAGTAGCATTTAAAGGTTAAATTCAATTCTTTTAATTTAAACCGCTACAAATAGGAAAATTTCGCGGAAAGCCCAAAGCAGTTTTTTAATTTTAATTCAAGTATTTTTGTTTGACTAAGTGCTCGACCAAACCAAATCTAATACCCCTTGACAGCGTGATTCAACGCTCCAGAGGGGCCCTAATCTTCCCACCACCAAGGGGAGGCCACATGGCGTGAACCCGAGATCGCTAACAGTCGCCACTCGGGTTGTACGCCTTCACTGAGGCCGTCGGCAACAGAACATTTTGACAAGTGGACTGTTGACGGCTTAAGGCTCAGTGTAGGTGGCCGTGGTGGGAGCTAAGGCGGCAGCTAGCCAGGGCCGCCTCCATCAAATGGGGAACAGTGGTACACCAGTCGCGGCCACTCAGCTAACGGGAGTGCGAAGGGTCCAGCGGACCGATGAGTGGCCGTGAAGTTCCTCTCCACACGCTTAGGGGGAATGATGACACCCCCGCCCCTGGGGGAATTACCCCCCGACTGGTCGGGGAAGGGACCCCTTTCAAACTTAGGGGCCTGATGGCTGGCCGGCGGGCGCCGAGAGTCGCCCGGCAGAGGGCGTGGCTGAGCGCCCCCGCCCGTGGGGGTCGAGGGCCTGGCAGAGCCCCGAGAGGAGACGCCGTTCGCACCCTGGCACAAAACGGCATGGTGATTGCCCTGGCAATGCAGACAGGGCCGTCGATGCGGACAGTCTCGCTGGAGGTGCCCTCCCAGACATGACCAGCACCAGCGGCGCTCCTTGGCGATAGTTCGCCTCGCAGGAACCGGCTTACCTAATAATTTCGGGCACAACGTTACCCGGTGATCAGATGCTCGACAATAGGAGCAGGGGAGGGGTTGACGACGACTTGCCTGGCGGGTTCAGCCTCTCACTGGGCACATCTCGTAAGTCGTCAACGGTGCCCGCCGCGTTCTCGATCTGCCGGCACTGCTCCCCTAAAAACCGCAGCAGGTCATAGAAGGGCGGAATATAGGAGGCCTCGTCCCCGCCGTACCTCTCCTCAAAATGGATTCGAAGGTCGAGAGGTAGACGGGACAGCACTATGCGGAGCAACAAAAAGGCCCATTCGCCCACTGGTAAACCCAGCCGCCTTAACGTATTACAGGCCACCAAGACTGGATCCAACAGGTCCGGACGCAGTCTGGCCCGGTCACTAAGCAGCGGGAGGCTTAGAAGCTGCTTAACATGCTCGTCTGCAATTCGCCGGACGTTGGCGTATCTTCTGGCTAGGAGGTCCCGAGCAGTCTGGTAGGCGTCGTCCGACAATTTCAAGTGGCCGACGACGCCCAGGGCCTCCCCCTCCAGTGAGGCCAGGAGGTACGCCATCTTTTGTCTCGGGGTCAGGTCACTCCGGGCGTCCACTAGGCTGTCGAAAAGACCAACGAAGGTCAGCCATTCGGAATGGACCCCGGAGAACTATGGCAGGTCCAGAGTTGGGAGTCGTCCCAACAGCTCTGGCTGAAGCTGCTTCAGAGAGGACTCGGACAGGTCACTCACAGGAAGCGCGTGAAGCTCGGATGAGCTTCACGCGCTTCCTCGGCATACCTGCCTTCAGCCTCGATCAACTCGTCCGTGAGCCACAAGAACTGCTCATAGTCCGCGAAGCAGGAGTCCAGGACTCCC